GGTTTAGGGGTTGAGGGTTGAGGCTTTAAGGGTCTGGAGTTTTGGGCTTAGGGGTAGGGAACACTCAAACACCGAACCTCAAGCAGATGGGTTTAGGGTGAGTGGGCCTCTCGGCAGGTGTCCGTGTTGGAGCAGTTCCAGATCTTCGCCGTGGCCTGTAAAACAGAGCTTCAACTGATTGGCCCAGCAAGCCCTCAGCAGACAAAGCAAGCTGGATTAGGATAGCATCCGATGCGTCAAGGAGGATCTGCAATCAAACTACTGTAAAGTCAGCCACATTTTCTGGTAAAACCGGATTGCCACATGTCATCCTTACACCATCCTTCAAGGCGCCAGAAGGCCAGGGGCCTCGATTAAGATTTCCAGACTCCGCAGAGAGAACCACTCTTCGCATTATTGCACCCGGTAGGATGAAAGAAAAGAACTTGTTATAACTGATGGTACTCATGGTACTGGAGGAGCATAAGAGCTTGAATAGGGTTTGGGGGTAGATTACCGTGCAGTTATGATGAGGAGCATCGGCAACAGTATTTCTAAGTAGTTATTCTTGTTTCTTGACTAGATTGGAAGCTGGTCCAATGATTTCCATTAGCCCCACGAAGGCAACCGAGCGCCCAAAAACCTTTACAGCACTGGCGGTCACTAGCGTTTAGGGTTAAGGGGAATCCCAAACGTATCTAAGGGATCCTGAGTAATGCCGCCTATCTTCCGCCCAGCTAAACCCAAACCCTGAACCCGTAAACCCTAGACCCTAAACCCCTAAATAAACCCCTAAACCCTAAACCCCTAAACCCCTAAACCCTAAACCTCTAAACCCCTAAACCCTAAACCTCTAAACCCCTAAACCCTGAACCCCTAAACCCGGGCCCTAAACCCCGAAACCTCTGAACCCCTAAACCCCTACACCCTAAACCCCTAAACCCCGAAACCCCTAAACCCTAAACCCTGAACCCCTAAACCCGAAACCCCTGAACCCGAAACCCGAAACCCCTAAACCCCGAAACCGAGCCCGACCTGAAGCCAATCGCCATCTGCGCGCTTCACGACTTGTGAGCAGTTGCCCTGCCCGACAGGGAGTGAGTTGGGTGAACTTCTAAGGAGTTTAGGGGTTTAGGGGTTTAGGGTTTAGGGTATAAGGGCCCCGCTTCCTCAGCTCCTGGGTCTAATGTAGGGGCCTTAAATAATTACTAATACTATTTGGGCGGGGGTTCCTTATTATGGCATAATATATCCCGAAACCCTATTCTTATTGCCGTCTTAGGGTTTAGTCAGCCCTCAAGCAGAAGCCGTAGGCGCAGGGGTTGAAGGGTTTGCAAGGTTCCCCCCCAGGGTTTTAAACGGTTTTCGGAGGTTTAGGGTTTAGCGTTTAGGGTTTAGGGTCTTGGAGTTTAGAGAGTTGTCTTTTTACAGGGCTTGACGTGAGCTTCTACACGAATATTCGAGGCGTATGATGTTGAGGCGGTTTCTGTGAGGATTCTATCAGCGGGGTTTGAGGTCTTAACACGGGGTGATGTCCCTAAAAACCCAAACCCCAAACCCCAAACCTTAAGACCTAAACCCAAAACCTAAACCCTAAACCCTAAAACTTCAACCCTAAGCCCCGAACCGTAAACCCCAAACCCTAAAAGAAAATCCTAGGCCCTCAACCCTATATCGTGCTCATGTAATGCGTTGCCTGAGATCGTAGGGGACCCGGGGTTCCTACGATGTGGGGGTTCCTTTAAAGGGATCTATAAGGGTTCCTTTAAAGGGATCTATAGGGTCTTATTGTTAGGGGTTTAGGGTTTAGGGTTTAGGGTTTGAGGTTCAGCG